AAATAAAATAGTATTAGAGAAGAAAACGCACAGGAGAAATGATCAAGATCAAAACTCTAGTCCTTAACAGTTGAAACCACCACAGATTATAAGATTATGAAGGGGATTCAAGTTATGATTTAATATTTATATGACAAACATCATTGTTAAAACATATCCCAGGATCAATAAAGCCTACGACTTCTCTAAACAGTTCCTCAGAGTTCTGCACTTATAAGGTACTGTCTTTAATATATTTCCTATGACCAGCTTGGTAGGTAGGTAGTCACCTGGAAAAAGAAAGCAAACCAATTTCAAATCAAGCAACTGAAAGGAATCCGTGCTAATTTTCACAAATGAGCAAAGAAAACTTCCCAGAGAGCCAAATACCAAAAAATCACAAACAAAAGCTTTATAGTTTATACCAGTGTGATAACAATTAGCATATCCCAAATGATAACCTTACAAATTACCATACAAGAGAACAGTTCAACTCTATATTAAGATAAGGTCAAGTGACTTTTGCAACCAGACAAAATATCGCATCCCTGTGTGTTTGATTCTAAATTGGAGCCCCTTAGAATATTAAAGTTATTAAAAGCTCTAGGGGACAGAGGAATGATACAAATGACAATATTGTATTTTCATCAAACATTTGCAACTAATACACAGTGGCTCTGTTCTTGGAATGAGGCCAGCGTATATTTTTTTTTTTTTTTAACAGAAAGATTTAGGATAGTAAGCAACTAGAAAACTTTTAAAATATTTTAGAAAGAAATTATACAGTCCTTTAAATCTTGCTAGGAAAAAGAAATGGAGGTGCAAAAAGAGGGGGAAAACCAAGTTTGCTACCACCTGCTCTCAATAAAAGGTATTTTTTTTCATATTTACTTTTACAGTTTTCTTTGAAAAATACTGTCCATCTATTCATCCCTTAGAGAATAATTAAGCACAATATTAAAAGAAAAACCAACCAAACAAAACAATCCTATACAAACCTGAAGGAAAAATTAATCGATCCAGATGTTTATGAAGGTTTATGAAAGCGGAATAGATGGGATAAAATTTTTAAAGATAAAAGAGCAAGCTTTCTGATATTTTCCCAAAAGTGGATGGAATTATAAGATAAGCATCTAATCAGTTCTTAATTAAAACAAAGAGGAATGCCCGTGATTCAGAGCAACAATAGGTTGCCCATTCCCAAATAACCTATGAAGCCAGGCTTGCTTAAAGAGGGTAATTGGTAAGGTTCTCATGCTAATTTTTTGGATAATATCTTTAGATACATTTTCCACTGAAAAAGAAATGAGTATGAGAAGTGTTCTGTTGTTGAAATGAAATGTTTCTGGCTTCGATCCTTTCTAATATTCTCCCTTTCCAGTTCTCCTCATCTCAATCCAGAAACCTCTCCATGCAGAGTTCATGCATTTTCCTTCTCTATTTTAGTGAAAACACACCACACTGATTGTAAGAATCTTACTAGATTTCCATTTGTTTTGCCTCAGTTCCTACATTAATCCAAACAATAAGGGCCTTTAAAACATTCATAAATAACCTGCTGCTGCTGGCACCTAGGAGCTGAGTGCTGCAATGTTAAGCAACAACAAATTTCATAGTTCAAGAGGCACAGTTAAGGAAAAAGGTTGCTCAGGAAATCACTCTTATTTAGCACAAAGATCCTTAAAAATTGCATGAAATCAGTCAAGTAACTATAGAAACCAATTTCTTCAGCTCCATATCACACGTCTCACACCTCAATTGTCTTTATTATCATCTGCTGTCAGATCCTTAATCAGAAATGTGAACAGGCTTGATGATTTATTCAGCAGGGAAAAGGATCTGTAGGTCAAGTGAAAAATTTCACACACACACCCAAACACACACCACATCTTCAACCTTAGGTACTTTCATTTCCTTCTGTTCTCAGCAGCTCTGGGGGCAACTCCAGTGAGATCCAATATTAAGGCTCAATTAAAATAAGCTCCAATTAGTGGAGCTTTTTTCTCTGGGGCTAGAAAAGTCAGGAAATGGATATTGGGAAATGTAAAAAGTCAGCTACTGAGAGGAGGCTGCAGACATAAATGAACTTATTTGTTGATTTCTACAGTTGCTATGCAGAGGCCTCTGGGAGTAAAAGCTTAACCAGTCTAAGCTATAAACTAAAACCCCTGCAGCTAAACATGAACTGTGTGAAACAAGGGCTCCATTCCAGAACAGAAAACTGCTGGGCCCAGAAAATTAAAAGCCAGAGGCGTTTTCCATTTAAAACTAAATCCCAGTACCACCTCCCAGCCAAAGAATTATAAGCAGTATCAGATTTACAAAACGAACAATTACCCTGGAAAAATGTAGCCTATTGTACAGTCCCAGATGCTAAATCTCAGAAGTTTCTTTTTCTTTTTTTTTTTTTAATCCCACGTTATATTCCTCCAAGTACACTGCTGTAGTTTACAAAGAGCCATTTCTAGACAGGCCTAAGCCTTGAAAATAAATTTTAAAAAGAGAGCACATAACTCATTGACCTCATTTGAAGTACTGCCCTTGCCTTCAGCAGTTCCTGTCCTTCCCCAAGGCTCCTGCAAATGGTATGCAGCAGCAAAATAAACCCTGACCTAATTGCCAGGAGAGAGCTGCCAACCTTCCCTCCAACACAAAGACAAGCATGGTAACTTGAAAGTCCTACCTCTTTGGCTTTCTGCTTTAATCTCAGCTGTTCTGGATCTTCTTTATTGGAACGACTCTATCAAAAGAAAAGAAAATTTTAATAGAAATTACTAGCATCTAAACACCATAGTTGCCATTAAATATTTAATAAATGACAATTTTCTCTTGTGATTGAAAACCTTAGCTCCAGGGGAAAATGCCTCAATCCAGTCTGCTGCACTCCCTCCTTTACGCCCCCTCCCTCTCATCATCTGGGCTGGCTGCTGCAGTTCTAGCCCCGAGGAAGCTTATACTGAAAATGATGCTAACAATGTCAGTCAGGTCCAGTTGAGGCATGACGTTGTTCTTGTTAGAACACTAAAAACTAAAAAACGGATGGTACAGATGAAGGAAAAGAAAAGAAGGATAATTGCTGGCTCAAAGAAGGAAAGCAATCAACATTGGCTAATCTTCAGATAAAGCCATTTTGGGAAAACATGTTATTTCAAGGACTGTTAAAATCAAGAACCTCATAGGGTGATGTATGAAATTGTTGAATCACTATATTGTATACCTGAAACTACTATAACACTGTATGTTAACTGGAATTAAAATAAAAACTTAAAAATAAATAAATTAAAATAAAATTAGGAGTCTGAACCAAATCAATCTCTTTAGAAGTACAATTCTCAAAAACTAAGTAGGAAATACATCCCAGTGTTTTCATTAGAGTATCTTGTCATCTTTGGGTCCTCCATAGCATTTAATTGAATGCTATGCACAAGTAAATGTCCAATAAATGTTATTCAATACTGTTTTCCATACTGATTCAGTTCAACATTCAAAATTGAACAATCTAACAGGACTGCTATTAAGGAGAGAGCTATCTTCTATATGTAATGCTATGATGAAAGCGGTAAAGAACTTCATTTCTGACACTATGAACACCTGTCCACTGAAAAATATGCTCAGGAGTATTCTTTTTTTTTCATTCTAACAAAGTTATCTAAGTCCTTATAAATCTGAATATTTGTTCTATAAAATGCAACATCAGCTAAGTATAGCTAGCAAAATAAAAGCTAAAAGTATTTTCTTATTTACTAAGTTTACTTGATACATTTTACTGATGTATCAGTACTTTTGTTAAAGGGAAGTACAAGAAAGAAACCGTTTAGATTTAAGAGTGCCTTGTAATTTTTTTTTAAGATTTTATTTATTTATTTGAGAGAGAGAGAAAGCACAAGTGGGGGCGGGGGGGGCGGAGAGGGAGAGGGACAAGCAGACTCCCCACTGCACAGGGCTTGATCTCAGAACCCTGGGATCATGACCTGAGCCGAAGGAAGCTGCTTAACTGACTGAGCCACCCAGGCGCCCCAAGAGTGTCTTTTAATTTTAAACACATGAAGTGTTTAAATTAAATTTAAATAAGGCTACCAAAAGCTAGTAACTTTTTTCTTCTTTTTGTCCTCTGTCTACTAAAACAACTTAACCCAAACTAAGATAAACTCCTTTATTATTCCACCTATGATATGAGACAATAAGCATGTATATAAACGTATTTATCTTAAAAATGTGTGTGTATGTATGTATATACATATACATTGTGAGTGTATGATTTTTGCCCCAGTATGTAATGGGCACATTTGAATATCAAGTCTTTATCACTTAACCAATATTTATTGATTATTCATAGATAAATTCTACTCTGTGTGCCTCTATTCTGAGTCTGGAGATACAGAAATGAAATAGTAAGACAAAGTCTCTGCTTTCAAGTGACTTATATTTTAAGAAGAGAAAAATAGTAAAAAAATTTTATAAAAATTAAATACAGTTATGATATGTAAAACATTTATGATGGGGAAAAATTTTAAAAAACAATTACTGATAGTTGCTAAGTGCTATAAAGAAAATTGGACAATGTGATAGAAAGAAGAAGGAGTGTGTGTGGTGGGGGGTACTTCTTTAGCAAGGACAGGAGAGAAGACACCTGAAAAGTGACATTTGAGTAGAGCTCTGAATGACAAGGAGGCAGCCACGCAAAATTCTGGGGGAAGAATACTCCAAGCAAAAGGCAGAGTCATTGGGGCGCCTGGATGGCTCAGATGGTTAAGCGTCTGCCTTCAGCTCAGGTCATGATCCCAGGGTCCTGGGATCGAGCCCCACATCGGGCTCCTGGCTCAGCCAGGAGTCTGCTTCTCCCTCTCCCTCGGCCTCTCCCACTGCTCATGCTCTCTCTCTCTCTGTATCTCTGTGTCTCAAATGAATAAATAAAATCTTAAAAAAAAAAAAAAAGGCAGAGTCATTGCAAAAGCCTTAAAATGGGAACAAGCTTGGTAAAACTGAGGAAAGAAGGAAGGCCCGTGTGGCTGGACCATGAGAAAAGTTGAAAGAGATAAGGTTGGAGACCATGTAGGCCAAGATACAGAGTTGAGGTTTAATTCTAGTCATAAAAAAAAAGCCACAAAAGGGCTTGGAACACAGGAGTGAGATGCCACTGCTCTGACACTTGAGAAAGATCACTCTGGTTGCTCTGCAGTGAATGCAGCACTGTAGGGATCCGAGATCAGAGGCACAGGCTTACAGAACAACTCAGGAGACTGCTCTAAAACAACTGTGGTTTTAGAAAAAGATAAGGGAAACTTGGACTAATGTCATAGCAGATAAGATTAGGCTGAAATATATTTTGGAGGCAGAGCCAACTAGATTTATTGATGGACTGGATATAGGGTATGAAGTAAAGAGGAGAATCGAAGATGATTTCCTAGGATTCTAGCCTAAGCAATTGGAAAGATGAGAATACCAACTTTCTAAGATGGTAAAGACCAAAGCAGATGTTAAGACATGGGACCTCAACTTTCAGGTTGAGTCGCCTAATTAGCAGTCTATGATGCACACTAGGCACCCTCAAAGGTCAGTGTGTCTGGAGCAGAGTGAGTAAAGAAGGGAGGGATATGAGTGGTGGGCGGGTACTTTTTTAAATCTGGTAAGCAGTTTGGATTTTAAATGCAAGAGGAAGTCACTAAAGGCTTTCAAGTAACGGAGACATGCATGATTTGTTATGAAAACATTATTCTGACAACAGTATGAAAAACGGATTGTAGAAGGAAAAGGAGATCAGTTAGGGGACATTATAAAAGTCCAAGCTGGGCCTGGAATAAATTGGAATAAATTGTGCCAGAAAGTAAGGATAAGGGCACCTGGGTGGCTCAGTCAGTTAAGTATCTGCCTTCTGTGCAGGTCATGATCCCAGAGTCCTGGGATCAAGCCCCACATCGGGCTCCCTGCTCAGCAGGGAGTCTGCTTCTCCCTCTCCCTCTCTCCCTAGCTTGTACTCTCTCAAATAAATAAATAAATAAATAAAAAAGAAAGAAAGGATAAGCTCAGTGAATGATGGAAACATGAGTAACAGACAGATGTACCAGTTGGAAGGGTCTCCTACTCAGGAGGAATTTGAGCATCAAAATAAATAATGATAGTAATGGATTAATAACCTACTGAATCAAATAGAAATCCAAAGCCCATTTTGATATCAATGAATACATGAATAAATGAATAAAAGAGAAAGGAAAGCTCTTCCACATACAATGCTAATAAATGTAGAAGATGATGAGAATTAAAAAATTACCATTTTATATTTACGAGTAGTGTTCATCATAGAGGTGGCTGACTTAGGTAGATATCATCTATGGGCACTAAAGTTGATACATGGAGGTTTGGTGAGGAAGGGAATATTGGTATAATCTTGAAATACCTTCCTATGAAAAACTAACTGATTACAAAAGGGAAAATGGCAAATTTGAAATGGAGAGAATTGGAAGGCACCCACACAGCTGGGTGATCAAGGTTGCCTTTTGATAGGATCAGCTGAGAAGAATGTATTATTCCTGCCACAAATTCATTAACTAAGTCATGAGGAAATATCAGATGAACCCAGGAATTATCAGTCACCCTATAGATAGTAAGGCCTGTACTCTTAAAACCTGTCAAAGACATGAAAGAGAAAGTAAAAAATCTGACTAAAGGAATCTGAAAAGAGATGACAGTTGAATGAAACACACATTGTTGAATGGGACAATAGACCAAGAAGGAAAAAGAGACTGGGCTGAGACAGTTGGTGAAATCTGAATGGGGTCTGTGGATTACATGGCAGTGTTATATTGTTCACACCCTGACTTGGTAGGGTTATACAGCAGAATGTCCTGTTTTGAAAGTAAGCTTCAGAGAAAGGCTAATTAGAGATGATAGTTGCACAACTGTAAATATTGTAAATATACAAAAAAACCTCTGAATTGAAAGAAACAAAGGAGAACAAAGGGATGAAAGAGAATAATAATAATAATGATAAGGGTGTGTGTGTGTGTGTAAATGCAGAGATGGAGAAAATGTTAAAAATGGGGGCATCTGAGAAAAGGAGATGAGGATTCTTTATATAGTTCTGACAACTTTCCTGTAAGTATGAAGTACTTCAAATTAAATTAATTTTTTTAAAAAGTGATTAGTATACAAAATACTCTAAAAGGGGAGGCTGCCAATAACACTACAAATTTTTTTTTTTTAAAGATTTTATTTATTTACCTGAAAGAGAGAGAGACAGCGAGAGCAGGAACACAGCAGGGGGAGCGCGAGAGGGAGAAGCAGGGCTTCCTGCCGAGCAGGGATCCCGACCCGAGGCTCGATTCCAGGACCCCGGGATCATGACCTGAGCTGAAGGCAGACGCTCAACGACTGAGCCACCAGGTGCCCCAATAACACTACAAATTAAAACTAAGGTGTTTAAAACAAAAAAATCGGTCTAGTGCCCAACATTTATGACTACGCGCAAAGGACCTATGCCTATGGAGAAATGTGAAGCAACAAAAGGCAAACCACAGTGCAACTAGCTTTCACCCCTTCTGACACTATAGTCCAGGAAAATGTTTCAGTAAAGAAGAAAGAAAATATATTTATATATAAGATAAATATCTTCTTACCTGTTCTTTTATTCTCTAACCCATTTCTGCCCATCCTATATTTTGTTCCATATAATCCTAATTAATCCTAATTTTACCCATAAATTTCCAAACTTTTCTCTCTCTAATTTAACTTGGCACATATCAAATTATATCCCTAAAAAGACGTTGAATATTTTTAAAAACATTTTTACTTGGGGCGTGCCCAGTCAGTTAAGTGCCCAGACTCTTGATTTCAGCTCAGATCATGATCTCAGGGTCTTGGGATCAAGCCCCGCCTGGCGGTCTGCACTCTGCGGGGAGTCTGCTTGAGATTCTCTCTCCCTCTCTCTCTGCTCCCTCACCGCCCCCACCTCAAATAAATTAATCTTTAAACAAACAGTTTTTACTTGGGGGTGGTAGGTATGATCCTAGGCACATAGGAACTGAGAATGAGGAGACAAAAGATTGTATCTGATTAAAATAATTAACTGAAAGTCACTGTACCACACCATTCTGCTTATGAGAGATTTTATTAGTAATTTCATTTAAAGAAATCCTTCAGAGAAATCTAAAAGCCTAGCAAAAACAAGACAGTTGGCTAACAATAAAGCCAATTCTAACCTTGCCAGGTCATGTTCAATCATAAATCACGTAGGCTCTTACCTTGGCTACCCTAAGTAACATTTCTCTTTCTTCTAAATCCTTTCTCTGCTTCTCCAATTGATCTAGCTTTTCGAGAAATTTGAGCTGTGATCTGGTATCACTAGACAGGATGTAATTTTCACTTGCCTGGAAAAAAAGAAAAAAGAAAGTCTTACGATGGTCCTAGGCAAAACATTCTACATTAGGTCTTATAAATCAGCTAACGACAATACTAACATACATAGGGAGCTAAATTTTCAGGATGTAATATTTATATTTCTGATAATACAAACAACAAAAAAGAACCTTAGTCATCCTTAAAAGTTGAGAGGTAATTAAGCATTTAAATTTCAGAGCTTTCCTAGTAGGCCTCATTCAGAGGGGATAAAGAGAAGCCAAGCAAATCCTAAGAATAGGAAGTAGAAAGCAAGAGAGTATAACATGTACCTATAATCTAAATCTTTTTAGCTAAATTATTGTCCATCTCTGCAGACCTTAGTATAATTAATTAAATCTTAGGCTTGTGAAAGACAAAACAAAAAACCAATCACTTCACTAAAAAATACACCAAAGATGAAAGTTATCACCCTTGTTTCCACTGCTGGATTGGTCTAACCTTGGCAAGTGAGTACATTTTCAATCAAAATGTAACATGAGATAAAATGGCAAACATTTAAAATCCTAAAACTTGTTTTGAGGATTCCTTTAAGCTATGAACTTGGGCAGAAACTATAGTCAAAGAAATTAAGTATACAATTTATAAATGAGAGCTGTAACAGAGAAGTATAATTATGTCTTAATTTGCTCCATAAAATGATAAAATTTAGTTTCATTTACTCTGATATTCTAGAGTGTAAGACAGTGCTTTCCAATCTAAATATTTTGTAATTTTCTTCATCTGATATGATCACCTATCTCTCCTAATACACATAAGACGGTGGGGGGTGGGGGGGTGGGTTGCAGTGGTGGGCAATCTTCCCAATCAGCGTTTAAGACATCCTGCCATCTATAGTCATCTCAGTAATTCAGACATTTAAGCTATGGGATGAAGATTGGGGGAGACTGTATAATAGGAAAACTGAATGTTTTTAAACATTTAGTCCAACAGTCAGTGCCTGGCTTAGAAATCATAGGTATAGCACCAATCCCATCTTTGTTTTATCCCATGCTTATGGTTGATTCAATTAACTGGGACCAAGAGATTTCATATGCCCAAGATTCCTTCTAAATTAAATTTTTATTGTTGGTATTTAACTAGATCAAAAGAGTATTACATAGTATAACGAACAAGGATGTATTAGTGCTACTTATTTTAATTCATGTTTAATACAAAACGAATTCTCAAATGCTTTTAAAGTTAAATAATACAAGATAGAATATGGAATACATTATAGGCCAACCATGAGGCATAAACATAATAACCAGTGGTTTCTTAAATACTTCATCTTTACCATGTTTGTGCTCAGATACTCTGGAGAGAGTTTACTGACAGAATTTAATTTTAAAAGGACAACAAACACTAAATTAAAAAGGGGCACAGACTTTCTAAAATTTAACCCAATACCATCCCTGTACTAAGATCCCTTCTCCTTCTCCCAACTTGGATACAACTGCCTCTGGCTTAATGCATCCTTCCTTTATTCTTACAGATGCTAAACAAATGAGTGCCTCCCCTATTCCTACTGATTCCCCAACCTTATTTAAACAAGAGTAACCCCAATCTTAAAACATTGCTTCCTGTCTACCAAGCTGGCCTAACTGAAGTCTTTATGAACACTAAATAGGGTGGGTTTTTTTTTTTTTTTAAGATTTTATTTATTTATTTGAGAGAGAGCAAGCTAGAGAGAGAGAGAGCAAACAAGCAGGGGAAGGGGCAGAGGGAGCAGCAGATGGCCCGCTGAACAGGGAGCCTGATGTGGGGCTTGATCCCAGGACCCTGGGATCATGACCTGAGCGAAGGTAGACGCTCAACCGACTAAGCCACCCAGGTGCCCCTAAATAGGGTGGTTTAACAATAAAAATATAAGGACTCAGACCAAATGATAACAGAGCAAATCAAGCAAATCCCATCTAAAGAAAGCACTACAGCCCCTTTCAACTAGAAAACACTGAAGGGCACCTGGGTGGCTCAGTCGGTTGAGCATCCAACTCTCGATTTCGGCTCAGGTCATGATCTCAGGGTCCTGGGATCAAGCCCCACAAAAGGCTCCTTGCTCAGTGGGGAGTCTGCTTGAGGCTTCTCTCTCTCTTTATCCCTGCCCCCCAACAGCTTGCGCATGCGTACTCTCTCTCTCTCTCAAAAATAAATAAATTTAAAGAAAAGAAACACTGAAGCTTCTCCACAGTCACTGGTGTGCAGAAGACTATAATATACCTTCAGTGGGAAAACACCTGGCAAAAAGATCAAAAGCTTTGTACTGCATGTGTCACTTTCTACTTCTTTACTTAAATCTGTTTATGGACTATGATTAATTAGATAATTATATATAAACATGTGAAAGATTATCAAAAGCAGATGGATGTCAAATGCGAAGAGATGGTGGAATTTTGCTTTTAATAAAAATAAGCTCACTTTTGTGAAATTCGTGGGACAAAATTTCCCACACTGTACAGATAAAAAAAAGTCCTATCAGGGATGAACTGAAATATAAGGACAGGGCTAAATCTGTGACACAATGATTATTATAATATCAAAGTCTACAAAATAAGTATAATTTTGAACTAGATCCAAATATAACTAAATGATTATTACTTCTGTTTAAAGAATAATAATAATGTAGCTACAAATTCAGACAGTGGCATTAACTGTATTAAGGAATGAGTGTGGGGAAAGGCAGGCTGGGGAAAATCAATCAGGATAGGCAGTGTATACAACAAAAGGTTAAGGAAGTGTTAGCTTTAAGCTAAGTTACTGAGGTTCCACGTGGGGTAGATATTATCCATTTTGTCTATGGCAACTAAATCCTTAGAACATATGCTATTGATATACAACAGAAGAACTCCATCTGAAAGCTGGAACACACAAGAGAGATTTGGAGGACACTCAGAACAGTAAACCCTACTTGGAAAAATTCTATTCCACACTAAACTGTACAGTTACATTTTATACAGAAACAGCCTATTGTAAATAAAAGTGCACTCATGTATCTCTGAAAATATATAATTGAGGTGGGAATAGGAGAGAATCCAGGTTTGAAAAATTTGCTAAGATGTTACAGTAAAAAGCCAAAAAGGAAGAAAATTTTCCCCACATCCCAATATTGAAGGAAAACTGATTATCAAGTCAAACTAGATTATTACAAATTTAGGATGTTAATTGTAATCCCCAAGATAACCACCAATAAAATATCTAAAAAAGTATACACAAAAGGAAATGAGAAGGGGATCAAAACAGTATATAACAACAAAAATCAATCCAAAAAGGCAGTAATAACGGAAACAAGGGACAAAAAAAAAAAGCTACAAAGCATACAGAAAATAGTGAAGTAGCACAAGTTCTTCCTTATCAGTAATCACTTTACATGTAAATGGAATAAACTACCCAATCAAAAGGTAGAGACTAAAAGAATGCATAAAGAACATGAGAGACTACAAGCTGTCTATAAGAGATTGAGTTTGGATGAAAGGACATGCATGAATAGACTCGAAGTGAAAGGATGGAAAAAAAATTTCATGCAAGTAATAACCAAAAAAAGCAGAGGTGGCTACACTAGTATCAGGTTAAATAAACTTTAAGTCAAAAATTGTTAAAAGAGATAAAGATAAACAAGGGGGGCCTGGGTGGCTCAGTCAGTTGAGTGTCTGACTCTTGATTTCCGCTCAGGTCATTATCTCGGTTGTGGGATAGAGCCCTGTGGTGGGCTCTGCACTAAGTGGGGAGTCTGCTTGAGATTGTTTCTCTCCCTCTCCCCTTCCTCTGTCTTGCCCCACTCCACTGTCACCCTCTCTCTCTCTCTCAGACAAATAAATCTTTTAAAAAAAGAGATAAACAGGACATGATATATTGACAAAAGAGTCAATTCATCAAGAAGATATACATAACAGACAACAGAGCCCCCAAATGTATGAAGCGAACACTGACAGAACTAAAAAGAGAAATATGGTTCTACAGTAACAGTTGAAGTCTTCAATACCTCCCTTTCAATAAGAAGAATACCTAGACAGAAGATCAAGAAGGAAATAGAAGACTTAACTTTAAAACCCAAATAGATCCACCAGACTTTTATGAACATTCCACCCAACATAGGAGAATACATGTTCTGCTCAAGTGCACATCGAACGTTCTCTAAGAGAGATCATATGTTAGGCCACAAAACAAGTCTACATAAATTTAAATTGATTGAATCACATAAAGAATCTCCTTTGCCCATATGGAATGAAGCTAGAAATCAACAATAAAAGAGAAACTGGAAATTTCACAAATATGTGGAAACTAAACATACTTTCAAACAACCAATGGGTCAAAGAAATCTCAAAGGAAATTAGAAACTACTTAGAAGTAAATGAAAACAAAAACACAATGTACCTAAACTTACAGAATGCAGCGAAAGCAGTGCTCAGAGGGAAATTTATAGCAGTAAATGTCTACATTAAAAAAGGAAGATCTGAAATCAGTAACCTGCTTTATACTTAAATGAACTAAAATAAAAAATGAAAGTGGGGTCATTCCTGCTGAACTTACAGAAATAAAAAGGTTTGTAAGACAACACTATAAACAATTGTATGCTAACAAAATAGGACCTAGAAGAAATGGACTAATTCTGAAAACACACAAAAAGAAATAACTGATACTGTTTTTTTTTCCCCACAGCCTTTTCTCCTGATGATCACTTATTTTTAAGTCAGTCTTGCAAATTCTCACAAAAATTTATACAAGTGAGGACCTCAGCAATTATAAAAAGTTCTTCCAAAGTTCTAAATAAAGCAGAAAGTACAGAAAATAGAATGATTCCTCCAGGGAACTTACCAGTGATGTGGTAGCTGCTATTTCTCTGAGTTCCTTTTAACTTATGGCTAGGACATTGTGACACTGACCATTCTCACAAACTCAAAACCTCATAAGGTTACCCACATACCACGTTGCACAAAATCTAGCTATCAACACTTCTTGGTATGGAGGAAAAGGTTATCTTTTTTATTTTTCATCTCTCATCCCAATAAATTCGCTCTCCACCAAAACCATAATACAAATAAATCAAGTGCTTTCATCTTGATGATGGCAAGTAATTTGGTTCCTACCACTAGAGACAAGACAGGCTATCGTTCCATTTAATTTGTTTAAAAAGCAGTGGCACCAGCATTCGCACTCAATACAATTATTTAACTTATTAAAAGGAACAACAGTGCTTACAGAGCACAGAGCACTGAAGATATATTCTCCTTGCCAATCAAAAGCTGTAGGAGATGTCTCAGGCAGAACAGATGCATATCCCAATCTACATTGACACAGAAGCTTCGGATACAATTTTAAACTCTATGTTAATTTTGTCATGTAAGCATATCTAAATCAGGCAAATTAGGAATTAAACTTTTGTCTACCAATATGAACTATGTCTCTCGACCATTTCCTTTAAACATATACTTAAAATATGAATCCATACCAAAATACTATCTTTAACATGACAAAGAGGAAAGAGAAGAATTTGTACTTCTTTAATGATTTTCTTTACCTTGTAAGTTGTCATTCGATGCTGAGCAATTGTAGTCAGTTTTTCTAGAAGGCCTCGTAATCGCTCCTGTGTTGCATGGGAGATCAAGTTCACAGCATCAGAGTTAAGTTCTGTAATGTCATGCTTTTTACCTGCAGAAGCAGAGAAAATCCATTACGTGTTTTAGTAGTGGCTGATAATTGAAATAATTAGCACAGCAGGTATTCTGTTCCCCCTGGAAGTCATACCCATTATGAATAAAGGTTTGGAGATTATGATTTTCCTGGTAAAGTCACAACTTCAAAGATCTTAGACATTACATTAATAAAACCTAGCCTGAAGCCTCAGAAAATATAGACATTGTTTCACTTAGCCCCTAGAATCATTCTCCTTGCAAGGTCATTTATAGGACAAAGTTAATAAGAACACAAATCAAGTCTAGTGTTCAGGGAGGAAAATGGTAACTGCAGAAATTAGTGCCATATTCTGTTAATTTTAGTAATTAAAAAAATAGAAAATTACATTTTGCTCTGTTTGACACCGTTAACAATTTATGACATTTATTTCAATGAATTCAGATTGTGGGTCTCTGTTACTGCCTTATCTACAAGACATACCTACACTTCTTTTGTCCATTACCAATCATGCTTCTTTTGCACTAACTCATGTTCTGATAAGTTGACCTGGTAATTAATTTACAAGCTGAAATGGGTTCAAAGCCTTATCATTTCACCCATCCATTTGAATATCTTCTCTTTCAATGTATCTCCTTCCATAAATAAACCAAACTTCTATTCTTCTTTTGGCTAACTAGGAAGAAAGATTCAGGAAAACAACTTGGACCACATACCCAAAGGCAGAAGCTCATTTATAAAAGACCTTATCAGTATTTACATAGTAATTCCTCAGCTCAGTGAAACCAACCTGTATCAAGAGAGACCTAAATCTAAAGATATAGCCAATTGTGTAGTCTAATTTAAATGAGCTTTTAATAGTGCTATTGTGTTTATTTTTAACAAACATAACAGTTTGCTTTTGTACTCTCATCTAAAACATACTCTTATATACTCACCAAATTATGAATCAGTATAGCAAAAATAAGCTTTAATTAAAAGCCAACAAATCTTAAATACATTCTTTGACATTATTCCATAATAAATGCTAAACTTCAAAGTGTAAGCTATAGGATGTGAGGGCTATCTGGCTGTGACATCTGTCACACCACTGATCACCAGGGTGGATTCAGTTGATCTGGCTGCCAAGGCGCAGTCCCCTTCCTCTCTCACTGTTCCTTGTGCATCCCTCTCAAAGCTACGTGCTCCCTTGAAAAGAATGATCTTCCTAGATAGAGAAAGGCCATTCTTTGGTCAGGGGTATGCAAGTAGCTGCATTCCCCTACTAGAACCTCCAAAGAAGCTCCCAAGGTCCAAAATGCAGGCTATAGTAAACCAGACAGGAAGAAGATATAAAATTATTTAGCTTCTCCTAAGTTAAACCTTCAAAATATAATTCATTACTGTCCAGCAAAACTGAATTCATCATCAATTTTAGATTCAAGCAAGGAAAAAACACTACAAAGTCAAATCTTCTCTACTAAAATTGTTAGCATACATAAATAGTGAAGGCCTTCTATATAAGGACATAATTTCAAAACCATCCAATGATTAAAATTATAACTAAACATAGGGAAGAGATAGGGGATGACCTGTCAGTTCATGCTTAAAGGAAAGAAAATGCACATTTAAAAATATGTAGTGTTTTGGAGAGAAACTTTGAAAATAATTTCATATGTATTTATAAAATAGTTTATCCTATGTAGGAAAAAAATCCATATTTTAAAAATATTAGAAATAAACAAGGGTAGGGATTTGCAAACAATTCCAGGGTTTAGTGATCAAATGTTCTAATATCTTCACTACACTGATAATAAAACATGACAAAGTTACCAAGTTAAAATACTGTAAGAAAAATTCCCACCCTTTTTTCTTTAGATTCTTTGAGAGAGAGGGGAGAGGGAATGGCAGAGGGAGAAGGAGAGAGAGAATCTGAAGCAGACTTCTTGCTGAGCGTGAAGCCCAACACGGGGCCTGATCCCATGACCCTGAGATCATGAACTGAGCCTAAATCAGGAGTCGGGTGCTTAACCGACTGCACCACCAAGGCGCCCCCCAAAATTCCCACTTTTAAACAAAACACTCTAAGTTGACAAAACTGATGAAAAAAATCTGGTTGGTGCTTTTAAGCTTGTTACGTGATTTTATAGAATGTCTGTGTAATTTAGTTTAGGTAATTAGGAAAAAAGGAAGAACACTGGCATGTTAACTCTCCTAACAGTATTCAAGTAGAAAAATCCCCCCAAAATTCTTTGGGTTGATTTATAATTTCTGTGATTAAGGAACAGTCCTGGTTCTGAGCTGTTCTGTAAAGATGGAACTTTACTATACATGGAAAACATTCCTAGAAATATATAACTACACTCACTCTATAGTTTTATTGTTTTTAAAAAAGCTTAGGTATTTCAGAAGTTGTTTTGTAATTTTCCATGATATTAAATGACAAGTTTGTGCTTAATTATTAAGAACTGAAAATACCAAATAGTTACTCCCAGAATTCTCCTTGAAAGCAGAGGTTGGCAAACTAAATTTGATCTCTTTTTGTATAAAGTCTGATGGGAATACAGTCTTGCCTATTTGTTTATGTATTCTCTATGGCTGCTCTTGCAATGTAATAGAGTTGAGCAGTAGTGACACAAACCACATAACCACAAAGTGGCAAATATTTACTATCTGGCCCTTTGCAGAAAAAAACTGCCCATCCCTGTCCTAAATGATCAAATTGTTCTTTCAATGCTAAAAACTTTCCTATCATATACTCAAAGTGTAAGTCAAGCTAGAAATAAAATTTGTCGGGTGGGGGGGGTGGGAACTGATAAAGCTAAGTATCTACTTCTTCTCTACCAAAGCTCTAGATAATTACAGGGTTACATGGAGTCAATACCAGTAAGCTTCCCAAGCCATCACAGGAAAGTATCATGCTTGTTCCAAAATTAAGGAACTGGCTCCTGTACAGTACACAATACATATGCAAAAAGAGACTGTAAGAGAGAGTAAGAAAAAGAGGGAAGGAAAAAGAAAAAGGAGTGAGGAGGGAGGTGGGGGGAAAAGTCAAACAAAACACAAGCAAACATTTTACCATCAGCTCTTCTGAACTGCCATCCTTTTGAACTGCTTATAAATTCTAGTTTTTCATAATAAAAGAAAGATAACAGAGGGGCTCCTGGGTGGCTCAGTCAGTTGAGTGTCTGACAACTGATTTTGTCTCAGGTCATGATCTCGAGCCCCACTGCTGGACTCAGGGCAGAGTCTGCTTGAGATTCTCTCTCTCCCTCTGTCCCCCTCCCCACTCACGCACTTGCACTCTCTCTCTAATAAATCTTAAAAAAAAACAAACAAAAAAACAGATACCCAAATTATGTTAGAAATGAAAAAAAATGGAATTTGTATATAGTAGGAGCTCAAACATTTCTTTATTATTTTGTGAACTAGATTTAAACTATGTAATAGTAATGTACTTTGTAGTCCTTAAAAATACTATGGGCGTAAATCAGAAATCAGAAACCTTCACATTTTTGTGTTAGGGCTTCAATATAAAATACAAAGATCCTTACTAAAGTATACTCAAAGGTCACTAGTATTAACCTCCCAAATTTGATATGGGCAATGAAGAAGGTACTCCAAGAAGTCCCAGGGTTAGGACACATGAAATGAGATAACTCACATGCAATAATCTCTCTCCAAACTGTCTTATTTTTCAGTCAGTGTGGGGAGAATGTAGTCTTTCATGTTTCTGCAAGTTTGGTATTAAACAACAAGAAAAAAGCTGTGTGGCTCCAGAACAAAACACATTCTCTTCCATTTCCTTCTACACACACTAGGCAGCCACCTAATAACTACTCAGTGGACCTAGGGAGAAACCTAGTATTTTAATTTAGTTCTTTTAGGGTAAAGACGAGTTTGAATTTCAGGGTTGAGAGAAGAAAAAAGGGACTTAGTCTCTATTTCTATGTTTCACAATACTTGGAATTTTCTAGATTTCATAAACATGAACTCGTAACGTATGCATGCATTTGTATACATATGTGCCTAGTCCAACCAAGAAAGGAACAGGACAGAAAAAAAAAACAGTACATCATATGTACAAATTCACGTAAAGTAAAAATATACACATATTTCTCCCACTAAGAAATAAAAGTAAAATATTAATTTCTATTATCTAAACCAGAAACCATAGGTTATGATTTAAGTTATGTTAATAGTTTTTAAAATGAAATACTTCTTTCTATAACACCCATGAAATCCTGATTATTTCCAGAGCCTTATTTAAGCCTGAGTTCCAGGAAAACCAACCCACACTGTCTCTTTTGATAACACTTTCCCTGGAACAGACAGTCCTCTTAGGTCAATAATCTTAAGTCTGCACTTACCAATGTCTAATATTCTCTTTTGCAGAGCTCCAATGAAAAGAAATGGTTCATCTTTACATGACTGAACAAGTGTGCCAACCAATTCAGAGTTTGTTGCTAAGATGCAGGCATTTTCTTCACTGAGGTTGACCCCTGCCATGGAAGTCACATCATTGATGTCATCTTCATCTCTAAGAGGAAAAAAAGATAGCTTTTTGGTGGTGGTGGTGGTGGTTGGTGATGTGTATATGAATGATTTAAGAGAGCAAAGAATTATAGATCTCTCCTTATAACTGAAGACATTATTTTAACTCAATTCATCCAAGCAAGAGAACTGAAGAATGGCTATCTTTCCCTGGAAGCCTTTAAAAATTAATTGGTGTGTCTAACCACTAGTGTACATTTAATATCAGAGAGATGAATCAGAAGCAACTCTGTCTTCTAGTGCCCATCTTTCCATCTTTCAGCTTAGTAAATGGATACACCAACAGGGACTTGGGGGTTAAACTAAGTTAACCACAAATGCCCTGCAATGAGAGACAAAGTAACAATAACAGACTTCTTTGTTTTTATCCAAGATGATTAAAAGCCCCTCAGATTTCCCCAGTGCACTCTACTGTTCCACTGAGGATCAGGAGAAATCCGCTGATCCTGAAGATCTATACCCACATAAAGACCCATAAGAAGAAGGTTTCTTGACTAGTTATTCTGAAACCAAATGGTTAAAACTAGTTTTGATCTTCTGCTTCAGACTTTTGGTGTGTTCCATCTGTACCAACTGAATTCATTAAACCACATCCTCGAGCAAATGGCTGCAAAGGGTCTACATATAAAATTACACACACACACACACACACGTTAACATGACATATATATATATATATATATATATAAGAAACAAAACATGTTTGAGCTCCTTGCATTGCACCAGCAAAAATAAATAGTTGTTTTTATCTAACAGGATTGCTACATGGCTACAGTGCTAAGATTAGTATATATGTTTAAGGATCGAGAAGAAAAAGAGAAAAGAAATACAAAAATTCCCTCACAGCATCCTTATCACCATATGTAATAACAAACACATTACTGATCGTAACTCACCTAACCAATGCATAACATAATTTACACAAACATGATTACATAAAAAAAGATGTTGCTTCTCTTTATTGCATGGGCCAAATGGTATATCATGTGGTCTCACATCAATAGATTTAAATTATGGAACTCCCTGTGGTAATGCATTTGTGCAAGAGAAAAGGAAAGAAATTATAATTGTCAAGCACTCAAGAAATGAAGGCCTCTGGTGTTCCACTTTAAAAAGCAACACATTAGGGGTTAAGGGGAAAGAGCCCATCTTCAAACATAAGAGATTAAAAAAAAAAAAACTACATAAAAGAAAGAAAGAGCTAGACACAGCAGTTGAAAGTGAAGAGATAGAACAATGGTCTTATAATCTGAACAGCGGATTTAAAAGCCTAACATTAAAAGGTGTGTCTTTACAAAGAGAAGAAAAAATTTAAATTTAGTATCTCAAACCACTTAAATAAAACATGCAGTACAAAGAAAGTATACTGAAATGGTTGGACTCTACCTTATCAAATGTCACAGAGGTATTGTCAGAAGTATGGATGCTGAAAATGACTCTAAGAATCATTCTGCCACCTATGTAAATAAAGCATTTCCAGAAACATCTAAACATGTAAACATCTAAAGTGTAAGAATGGTAAAAACCATAAACCCAAAGATGGACCAAGACCCAAGTAAAAAAATAAAAGGTCTGAGTAAAAAATATTTTTTAAAAATCCATGTCTCATGGGAGCCTGGTGGGCTGAGTTGGTAGAGCATGTGACTCTTGATCTTGGGATCGTGAGTTGGAGCCCCATGTTGGGGGTAGAGATTACTTTAAAAAAACCAAACCAAAACAAAAACCCCACCGTGTGTCAAGAGAATGAAAAGACAAGCCACAGAGTAGGAGAAAATATTTGCAAAAGACATCAGATAAAGGATTGTTATCCAAAATATACAAAGAATTGTTAAAACTCAACAATAAGAAAACAAACAAACCAATTAAAGAACTGGCCAAAGTCCTAATAAAAAAGATGTACAGATGGCACATGAGGCATATGCTCCACATCCTTGTCATCAGAGAAATGCAAATTAAAATGAGATACCACTATACACCTAATAGAAAGGCCAAAATCCTAAACACTGACAACATCAAATGCTGATGAGGAGGATGTGGAGCAACAGGAACTCTCATTCACTGCTGGTAGCAATGCAAAATGGTACAGCCACTTTGGAAGACAATTTGGCAGTTTATTATAGAACTAAACATACTTTTACTGTACAACCCAGCAATCACATTCCCTGGTATTTACTCAAAGGAGTTGAAAATTTATGTCCACACAAAAACTTATACATGGATGTTTAGAGCAGCTTCAGAGATAATTGACAAAACTTGGAAACAGCCATAATGTCCTTCAGTAGCTAAGTATATATATAAACTGTGATACATCCAGATAACGGAGCATTATTAAGTGCTAAAAAGAAATGAGATGTCACACCATGAAAAGACACAGACAGGAACTTAAATGCAAATTATTAAGTGAAAAAAGCCAATCTGAAAAGGCTACATACTGTATGATTCCAACTACATGACATTCTGGAAAAGGCAAACTTTTGCCTTTTGGAGGCAGAGCACAGAGAATTTTTACAGCACTGAAACTACTCAGTATGATACTATAATGTTGGATACACATCATTATACATTTGGGTTGTTTTTTTTTTAAGATTTATTGATTTATTTGAGAGAGAGAGAGAGGAAGCAGGGGGAGGGGCAGAGGGAGAGGGAGAGGGGAAGCAGGTTCCCTGCTGAGTTTCCCCGCTGAGTGTGGAGCCGAATGCAGGGATCAATCTCATGACCCTAAGATCATGACCTGAGCTGAAACCAAGAGTTGGACGCTTAACTGACTAAGCCACCGAGGTACCCCTCACTATACATTTGTTAAAACCCATAAAATGTACTACACCGATAGCAAACTGTAAACTATGGGCTTTGAGGCTTAATGACTTGTCAGTGCAGGTTTGTCAACTGTAACAAATGGACCACTCTGGTAGGGGATGTTGATAATGAGGGAGGCTATGCATGTGAGGGATTAGGGGGAATTCTCTGTATCTTCCAATCAATTTTGCTGTGAACCTAACCTGCTTTATTTTTTTTTTAAAAAGATTTTATTATTTATTTGAGAGAGAGAGAGAACTAAGTGGGGCCAGGGGCAGAGGGAGAAGCAGGCTCCCGGCTGAACAGGGAGCCCAATGAGGGGCTGGATCCCAGGACCCTAGGATCACAACCTGAGCCGAAAGCAGATGCTTAACCGACTGAGCCACCCAGGCGCTCCGAACCTAACCTGCTTTAATAAACAAAACCTATCAAAAAAAAAAAAGTCAACTACATATCAGTGGAGAGCTAGTCACTACAAAACAGAAACCCAGTTACTTAACATCTTAAGGATTTCAATTTTTTTTTTTTAAGATTTTATTTATTTGCGAGAGAGAGAATGAGAGACAGAGAGCATGAGAGGGAGGAGGGTCAGAGGGAGAAGCAGACTCCCCGCTGAGCAGGGAGCCCGATGCGGGACTTGATCCCAGGACTCCGGGATCATGACCTGAGCTGAAGGCAGTTGCTTAACCAACTGAGCCACCCAGGCGCCCCAGGATTTCAATTTTTCCTTTAAAAAATGAGTAACTTAGGGATGCCTGGGTGGCTCAGTCATTAAGCGTCTGCCTTCTGCTCAGGTCATGATCCAGGGTCCTTTGATCGAGTCCCACATCAGGCTCCCTGCTCAGCGGGGAGCCTGCTTCTCCCTCTGCCTGTGCTCGCTTGCTCTCTCTCTGACAAATAAATAAATAAAATCTTAATTAAAAAAAAATTATAAAAAGAAATAAAAAATGAGTAACTTAGATCAGGTGCTTTCTAAAATCCCTCTCAGCCACTTAAAAGAATGAGGCAGCTCTCTTTGACCTGATACAGAACAACTGCCAAGATATACTGTGAAGTGGGAGAAAAAAAAAATGAGGTAAAGAGACTGCCCCTTGGAGAAAAAAAAGATACACACACACCCGAGCATAACATAGCTCTGGAAATATACATGAGGAATTCTCCTCTGGAGAGGGAAATAGGGAAGTGGAGATAAGAAAGACTTATTTTATAACCACAATATACTCTTTTCTACCTCTTGAATGTTGTACTATATACATGGATTACCAATCAAAATGATTAGTGATATTTATTTATTTTTTAATTTTTTAAAATGTTTTATTTATTTATTCATGAGAGTCAGAGAGAGAGAGAGGCAGAGGGAGAAGCAGGCTCCCCACCTAGCAGGGAGCCCGACACAGGACTCGATCCCAGGACCCTAGGATCATGACCTGAGCCCAAGGCAGACGCTTAACCATCTGAGCCACCCAGGCGCCCGGTTAGTGATATTTAAAAATAGTAAACAAATATTTAGGAAAAGAAAACTGAAAATAGAAAATATGATGAAGTTTAGACATAAAACCCCAATATTCCCTTAAAAAGAAAATCAGAATTATTTAACACAAAACATGGCCTTTACACACATGCACACAACACTGAATGTTTACAATCTCAGATGTGTATCAGGTACACAGGCACCATAAACTGCAAACTGCTTCCACAGGAGGGTTCCTGCATAACCCCTGTTGAGATCTCACACACAGGCTGGAAAGACCAGTACCAAGCATACTTAGTACCAGTACTTAGCATAGTACTAGAATTGAACAGAATTCATCAATGAGGAGACAGTCCCAGGGTTTTAAGAATCTTCTTGCAGCCCTTCTCTGAAATAAGCAAGGAACTAAGTGCCCAATAAAACTGTTCTTGCCTGGCTTCCCTCCTCCTATTTGGCCCTAAGCTGAACACAGCTCCCTCTAGTACATCTGCCAGTTGCTATGGTTACAGAGGGCAGCAGGAATAGAGGAAGACCCCCACTGAGGGAAGAGGAAAAGGTGCCACAATAAACAGCACCCAAGCCATTTAAAACTTCCTCTAAGTAAGGAGGCAGACTGAAGGGAAAAAAAAGTCAACACAATGTAGTAGCAGCATTACCAATAAGGCTAAGATAGGTCAGGAGACAGTATCAAAGGCGTTGATGTTGAAGCATAGTTGTGA